GTAGTTGATTTTGAGTTTTTGACTAGGGAGTAGAATAATTTAAGTAAAAAACATTCATATACATATGATTGTCTAATGAATACTGGAAAAGGCTTTAGATTGAATAACTTTTTTTTTTTTTCTGTAATGAGCCTCTAGAGTAACATAAATCAAGGGTCCCACCCAAAGCAAAACAGCACTTCCTTTGTCGAACCCTGTTTTTGATGTTGGAAACACGCTAAGTATTGGAAACTGGACGGTGTAAGAAAATTGCTGCTTCTTTGCAATTACAGACAGACAAATAAGATCCTTAAGCAGCAAGAGATAATATCTGGTATTGTGTGCCTTTATTAGTCTTGCAAGCCAATAAATTCCAAACTCATTATTTTTCCTTTTTTGTTTAGACTCTAGAATGATCTATTGAGAATGTTGCTGAATTCATAACTGATTGAGTTTGTTGGGTATACCAAAAAAACATAAACTGATTTGGAAATGTATGTTTCCCTTAAAAGAATTAAACACACATATTTAATGAAGTGAACAATACCAATAGAATTGGCTAGCTATCTGGGAAAGATTTTGCCCCCCAGTTTATTTTTTAAGTCGTTGTCAATTATTTAAGTTGTTCTTGTGCTGTCAATTATTTTGAACCACTGACTTGAAGGGTCACAATTTTTATCATTCCCCAGGCACTTGCATGAGTTTGTAACAATCCTGTTTGTAGAAGAGTCTACATCCAGGCAAACCGGTGTCCCATTGCTGAGCTTAGCTGAAAGGTGCATCTTTGAATCTGATATCATATCCCATTTTGCACATTCCTTACCGCCAATAGTCCCAAATTTTATTATTTTCCCCAAATCATCAACTGCTAGGCAGTGTCTCCTCAGGATCAATGTTTTATCATTGGGGGCTATACAGGGTAAAGCTTGTGAACATGGACCCAATTGCAATGGCTGTGATCTATGGACACAAAGCCCCGTTGCTGGATGAAAGATCACCTTATGCTGTTTAGGATATTCATCTTCACCCGGCCCTGGATTTCAAGCAAGACAAATCAGAATTCCTGCTAAGCATTTAATGAACTCTTGAGTCATGAATCAGGTTTCATCAGTTCTTACCTTGGAAAACATATTGCAGGGATGATATTTTTTGGAGAAAGCCTGGATTCCTAGGTTCACTCCAATTCGCGTCCAATACCCCATAACCCTCTTCAGATCTTGTGTAATAATTTCCAACCAATGTCCAAATAGCCCAATCTAGATCAAGCTCAGCTGCTAACCCCAAGAGGCAATTCAAGTACCTATTGTCATTACTGTTACTACCACTCATATCCACCCCAAACTCGCTCATAAAGAACGGATACCCTTTTTGCAACAAAAAACCGGTTGATCCCATCACCAAATTCAACACTCTTCCACAAGCTTCATTTACATTGTTCCTGGACCATATGCCTCCATTAGTAAAAGCATACCAGTGCATCTCAAAAACCAGTTTTCCAGTGAAGGAAAGGCTAACTGGCTTGTTATTGAGGAATCCTAAGTCTGTGTCGAAATTCAAGCCGGAAAGGATAACTAGGACATTTGGATTGGCGGAGTGCACTGCTTCCGCACCCTTCTGCATGTAATTGTACCAATCATTTTGGTTCTCTCTGCGGCCTCTGAGCTCGTTTCTGAGGGTCATGCCGATTACGTTGGGGAAGTCTTTGAACATGGTGGCCATCCGGCTTAGGCCCTGGATCCATAAATCAGGGTTGAAGAACTGGTCCCCGAAGAATCCATTGCCGTCCTTTTTATCACAGCACCATCCAGGCTTGCTTACGTGGTTGTCTAGTATAACCAACAGATTATTGTCCCTAAGGTTGGACACTACTGCCTGCAATTATTGGTTAAGTCTTTTCGCATGTTAGACTGATATTTTTTGAATTGGTAAATTATACAGACTGTAAAATAGCTTCTTCGGAAATTTTCCCATGATATTTTTTCTTAAAAATTTGCAATTAAATGGAGAAAAATTTTACCTCGAAAGCTTTAATGAGGGTGAGATCAATGATGGAGGGATTTTTGGCCTGAATACCAGAGAGGGCGTCCGTCAAGCCGAGTTTTTGAAATGATTGCCGGACGGTGGTAGATGCCAGGGAGTCATCGGTAGCCAGAAAAACCGGCCAAGTGAAACGGATGCAGTTGAATCCCAAGGACCGAATCTTCTTGCTGATCACGTCCACTGGTTGCTTGTTTAGCCCTTCTGCCACTACTGGTTCCAGATGGGCTATCCAGTTGACACACGCCAGCTTCACTCGCTTCCCAGTTTGGCTGTCGACGATCCACCGAGAGTTGGTGGAGAGAGACACACCGGTGACTAGTTTGGCATGGTGAGTGAGTAAGGGGAGGAGAAGGAGAAGGGGAAGGAGCATGGAGAATGAAGACGATGGAATGCACTTTCCCATGTTGGGGTAAATTTGTTAAGAAATCAAGGAAGGTTTTGATCAAATCAGCTGTGTATCTGCGTTGTTGTATGTGTAATTTATACTGGGAACTTTCCTGTTCAACTGTTCCGTATATTATTCTTTAAGAGATAAGCAGTTAGCTTCCATTCTTATCGAAAAAAGGTTAAAGATCAGAATAGAGGATGTTTATTTTATCTTTTAAAA